GCGTGGTTGTCGCACCACCTCCGCGCCGCCGCCTCCAAAGTCGTTGAATCCCAGGTCGTCGTCGGATCCGCCTACATCGGTTGTTGCCGCGCGCCACACTGAACTTTCCCGTCCCCATCCCTACGGGACTAACGCACCACCTCCACTCTGTCGCCGCCTCCAAAGTCGTTGAATCCTGCCCCGCCGCCGGATCCGCCCAAGTCCATCGTTACCACCCGCTTCACTGAACTTTCCCCTCTCCATCCTTTCGCGGTTGCCACACCACCTCCGTGTCGCCGCCTCCAAAGTTGTTGAATCCCATCCCGCCGGCGAATCCGCCCATGTTTGTCAACGCTGCCCGCCGCACCGACCAAATTAGGCACCGCTCGTGCCCATCACGATGCATCACCACCTACACACCGCCACCACAGCCGCACCAACCAAATCTATCCTTCACGGTCATCTGGTCACTACGTCGTGGCCGCAGCGACCGAATCCGTCCACCACCATCGCTTCGTCACCGTGTCATGGCCGAACTGCCCAAATTAGGCCTCCACGCCGCAACCATAGCACCCCACCGCAATCTGTTGTCTCGGCCTCGCCCCTACGTCGTCGCTACACCCCCGCCGCCGCCATGCCGCCAAAGCTCAAGTCAAATAGTAAGTCAACCTTCAAGGGCGTGCGGCAGCAGGACTCCGATCGGTTCGGCGTGGAGTTCTAGTGCGACGGTAGTCGCTACTGGCTCGACACGTTCAAGACAGTCGAACTCGCCTCATGAGCCTATTACATCACCGCTTGGCGGTTCAGCCGACCACAAGAGGAGATGAACTTTCCATAGATCGCATCCCGGGAGGATGCGGAGTTCATCGGTCCATTGGTGACCATGTTGGGGAACGTAGTAATTTCAAAATTTTCCTACGCACACACAGGATCATGGTGATGCATAGCAACGAGAGGGGAGTGTGTGTCCGCGTACCCTCGTAGACCGAATGCGGAAGCGTTAGCACAACGCGGTTGATATAGTCGTACGTCTTCATGATCCGACTGATCCAAGTACCGAACGCACGTCACCTCCGAGTTCTGCACACGTTCAACTCGATGACGTCCCGCGAGCTCCGATCCAGCAAAGCTTCACAGGAGACTTTCGTCAGCACAACGGCGTGGTGATGGTGATGATGATGCTACCGACGCAGGGCTTCGCCTAATCACCGCTACGATATGATCGAGGTGGATTATGGTGGAGGGGGCATCGCACATGGCTAGGAGATCAATGATCAATTGTTATGTCTCCAAGGGGTGCCCCTCTCCCCGTATATAAATGAGTGGAGGAGGGAGAGGGCCGGCCCTCTCTATGGCGCGCCCTAGGGGAGTCCTACTCCCACCGGGAGTAGGATTCCCCCTTTCCTAGTAGAACTAGGAGCCGTTCCAAGTAGTAGGAGTAGGAGAGAAGGAAAGGGAAAAGAGAAGAGAAGGAAGGAGGGGGCGCCGCCCCTCCCCATAGTCAAATTCAGACTAGGCCTTGGGGGGGGGGGGCGCAGCCTCTCCTCTATCTTTCCCCTAAAAGCCCAATAAGGCCCATCTACTCCTCGGCGAATTCCCGTAACTCTCCAGTACTCCGAAAAATACCTGAATCACTCGGAACCTTTCCGATGTCCGAATATAGTCGTTCAATATATCGATATTTACGTCTCGACCATTTTGAGACTCCTCATCATGTTCGGGTCTCATTCGGGACTCTGAACTACCTTCGGTACATCAAGACACAAAAACTCATAATACCGATCGTCACCGAACTTTAAGCGTGCGGACCCTACGGGTTCGAGAACTATGCAGACATGACTGAGACACGTCTCCGGTCAATAACCAATAGCGGAACCTGGATGCTCATATTGGCTCCCACATATTCTATGAAGATCTTTATCGGTCAAAACACATAACAACATACGTTGTTCCCTTTGTCATCGGTATGTTACTTGCCCGAGATTCGATCGTCGATATCTCAATACCTAGTTCAATCTCGTTACCGGCAAGTCTCTTTACTCGTTCCGTAATACATCATCCCGCAACTAATTCATTAGTTACAATGCTTGCAAGGCTTATAGTGATGTGTGTTACCGAGTGGGTCCAGAGATACCTCTCCGACAATCGGAGTGACAAATCCTAATCTCGAAATACGCCAACTCAACAAGTACCTTCGGAGACACCTGTAGAGCACCTTTATAATCACCTAATTACGTTGTGACGTTTGGTAGCACACAAAGTGTTCCTCCGGTAAACGGGAGTTGCATAATCTCATAGTCATAGGAACATGTATAAGTCATGAAGAAAGCAATAGCAACAAACTAAACGATCAAGTGCTAAGCTAGCGGAATGGGTCAAGTCAATCACATCATTCTTCTAATGATGTGATCCCGTTAATCAAATGACAACTCATGTCTATGGCTAGGAAACATAACCATCTTTGATCAACGAGCTAGTCAAGTAGAGGCATACTAGTGACACTTTGTTTGTCTATGTATTCACACATGTACTAAGTTTCCGGTTAATATAATTCTAGCATGAATAATAAACATTTATCATGATATAAGGAAATATAAATAACAACTTTATTATGCCTCTAGGGCATATTTCCTTCAGTCTCCCACTTGCACTAGAGTCAATAATCTAGTTCACATCGTCATGTGATTTAACATCAATAGTTCACATCTTTATGTGATTAGTTCATATCTCCATATGACTAACAC